AAGGAATTGGCTTACACGGAAGAATTTAATAAAACAACATGTGAGCAAGAGCCTGTGGTGATGAAGGAAGAAGTTCAAGCTGCTCTGAAAGAATTGGCAAAAAACAAGACTCCAGGAGTTGACAGCACACTGATTGATATATTTCAACAAACAGACGCTGCCCTGGATGTGCTCACTAAAATATGCCAAGAAATCTGGAGGACAGCTACCTGGCTGACTGGAAGAGCTATCTATTTGTTCCCATTCCAAAGAAATGTGACTCGACAGTGTGCAGAAATTATCGAACAATATCAATATTGCATGCAACCAAGATTCTGCTGAAAATTATCCAAAAATGACTGAAGCAACACGTCAACAGAGAACTGCCAGATGTGCAGGCTGGGTTTAAAAGAGGTTGTGGTCCTAGGGATATTATAGCTAATGTTTGATTGATTTTGGCAGAAAGTAGAGTGTACCAGAGGAATGTCTATATGTGTTTCATTGGCTATGCAAAGGCTTTTGACTGTGTGGATCACAAAAAACTGGCTGACTCTGAGAAGAATGGGAATCCCAGAACATTTGATTGTACCTATACCTGAACCAAGAGGCAGTTGTCCAAACAGAGGAAGGAGACACTGCATGGTTCAAAATCAGGAACGGTGTCCGCCATGGATGTGTTCTGTCTCTATACCTTTTCTTTCTTTCTTTTTTAAAATATTTTATTCATTTTGATGAACATTTACAGAGATTTTGGATTTCCATTCAGTCATTGTTGCATTTTTCTCCCTGCTCACCCCTCCCCCCCAGTTCGCTCTTCTCTTTGAAAAGTAAAAGAAAAAATTCCTTCATTGGTATACAAACCCCTCCCCTCCAGTAGACTCCACTATGCAACCTTCATTCTTCATTCACTATGCAATTCTTCATTTTCTTGTCATAACCATAATACCCAATCATATATTACTTTTTAACTGTTTTCTCCCTCATTTCTTTCAGTGCAGTATACCATACCTTTTCAATCTATATGCAGAACAGATAATCTAGGATGCTGGGCTGTATGAGGAGGAATGTGACATCCGGATTGGAGGAAGATTCATCAACAACCTGTGTTATGCAGATCATACAACCCTGCTTGCTGAAACTGAGGAGGACCTGAAGCGCTTGCTACAGAAGGTCAAGGACTGTAGCCTCCAATATGAAGTTCAAAACTAAGAAAATAATGAATGATTCTCACCACTGGGCCAAGTGGCAGCATCATGATGAATACTGAAGAGATTGAGATTGTTAATTGTTTTAGTTTGCTTGGCTCCAAAAGCAACACTCTTGGTACCAGCAGCCAGCAAATCAAGAGATGAATTGCCTTGGGAAAGTTGGCTGTCAGGTACCTCTCCAAAGTACTGAAGAGCAACAATGTCAGGCTGGAGACTAAGGTGCACTTGATCCAGACCATAATCTTCACAATTGCATGCTATGTGTCAGAGAGCTGGATAATGACTAAGGATAATAGAAAGAGAATTGATGCCTTTGAGCTGTGGTGCTGGAGAAGAATGTTGAATATACCATGGACTGCTAGGAGAACAAACAGGTTTGTCCTGGAGAGGGTGAAGCCGGAATGCTCCTTGGAGTCAAGGATTCTGAAGCTTCGTCTGACATACTTTGAGCATGTTGCAAGGAGGGACTGGTCCTTGGCGAGGGATATCATGCTTGGGAGGGTGGAGGGACACAAAGAGAGGAAGACCATCGATGAGATGGATTGATTCAGTGACTGGGGTAATGAGGGTAAGTGTGTCAGAGACAGTAAAGTTGACACAGGATAGAGTAGATTTCAGGGCTATTGTATATAGGGTCGCTATGAGTTGTAAGCAACTTGACACTCCATAACAGCAATAACAATTCCAAGTAATATTTATGAGTAAATGTTATTCCTTCTGGTATTTAATATAATACTTGATTAAACACTGTAAGCCCAAGCATTGGTAAATCCTTTTGCCATTTTGAGGGAAAGGGGGCCTGACTTTACCTTCTGCAAATTGGGAAATTCTATCATATGTTGCAATGCAAAAAAGTGTATTTACATAAAGGAGTTATCTCCACCTTGTGGTGCTTCATAGTATTGATTTTGAAAACTCAGATTTTGTGAGAAACCTTGACCTTCAAACTCTAAGTGGAGTGACTCATCCAAGGCCTGAGGGTTATTTGGTGACAGAGTTAAGATTACAGTTCATTTCTCCTTGATCTCCAAGCTATTCTCTCTGTTCCCATTTTATAGCTTCATCAAAACCAACATGTCATCTAGGATTTGTTGTTGCTACATGCCACTGAGTCAGCACCACAGACTACATCCAACAGAAAAAACACCCCTGTGTTCACTATACAGCTTTCAAATGCATAGCAAGTGGTGGAAAAGATCATGGCCTGAATCAGGCACACTTTTGTCTTCAAACTGACATCATTGCTTAATAATTTGGAGAGTTCCCTGACAGAAGACCTGCCTAATATATCTCCTGCTCTCCTGACTACTGTTAACCAAAAGTGTTGATTGTGGACCACAGTAAAATTAAATTCTTGTGATTTAGATCTTCTACCACCTATCATGATGTTGCTTATCAGTCCTTGTGAGAATTTTGGTTTCTTGATGTTGAGTTGTAATCTATATTGAAGGCTGTAGTCTTTGATTTTTTGCAGCAAGTGCTTCAAGTTCTCACTTTCAGCAAGCAATGTTATGTCGTCTGCTATGTCATCTGCATAATGCAGATTGTTGATGAGTCTTTCTCTGATCCTATCATAGAGTCCAGCTTCTTGAATGATTTGCTCAAGATACAGATTGTATAGGTGTGGAAAAGGATACAACTCTGATGCATACTTTTCCTGATTTTAAACCATCCAGTGTTCTTTTGCGGTGTTTGGACAAGAGCTTCTTGATCTAAGCATAGGTTTCAAATGAACATAATTAAGCATTCTGGGATTCCCATTCTTCTCAATATTAGTCATAGTTTGTTACAATTTTCACAGTCAGATGCATCGCATAGTTAATAAAACACAAACATACAGAGCTATTGCTTTAAAGCACAAACAGAAAATGTCCAGTGACATAGGTCATTGATTTCTTGACTGCTGGCTCCAGGAGGATTGCTAACGGATCCAAGTAAAACAAAATCCTAGATAACTTCAATCTTTTCTCCATTTATCATGATTGCTTATTGGTTCAGTTGTGAGGGTTTTTGTATATTTATATTGATATGTAACCCATAGTGAATGAAGGGTTTAAGTCTTTATCAGTAACAGCTTCAAGGTTGAGGCATTGTGTAAGAGGAAGTGCACCTGAAAATGACTATGAGCATTGGCTCTGAGAAGAATGGGAATCCCAAAACACTTGATCGTTCTAATGCGAAACTTATACTTGGACCAGGAGGCAGTTGTCAGAACAGAGCAAGGGAACACTGCATG